ATGGTTGGCATGCTCATGCAAATGCAGGCGAGGGCAAGAGCGAGCAACTCGTGCCTCCTCCAATCTCTTCTCGCGGCATGTGAGACGAACTCCACAACTCTATTGTGTGGGTGTTCCTCAATAGGGTGAGGGGGTCGAACCGTCATTCATTGTCCCTGGGTGCGTGGCTGAAGTTGAATTCCGCAGCGCGGATTTTGCTTGTAGTTGTTGTTTGTTGTGGTCGTCCCACCCGCGACCTGCCCCGCGACCCACCCGCGACTCGCCCACCGACCCGCCCCGCGACCCGTCCCGCGACCCACCCGCGACCCACCCGCGACCCGCCCCGCGACCCGCCCGCGCCCGCTCACCGACCCGCCCCACGAGCCACCCGCGACGCGCCCCGCGACCCGCCCCTCGAGCTACCCGCGACACGCCCCGCGACCCGCTCACCGACCCACCCCACGACCCACCCGCGACCCACCCCCTCACTCGCATCCGCGACTGCACGGTGCTGCAGGCGAGGCTGATTAGTAGGTCGACCCTGCCAGATCAGGGGTGCCCTTTTGTGGCCTCTGCGCTTTGCGACCCGTGCCTCCCGCATTCCTGTGGCAGAGAGTGGCCCTCGGAAGGGTCCTGTGTCCTCTCGCGTGCCCTCTCCACTCAACCCCGACTGCACGCAAGGTCGTCGTCTTCTTGTTCCTTGTTTTGCCGATCGGCGCGGGCCCTCGCAACCCGCCCTCCCCCCCCATGGAGTAGGTCTTGGCTGTTTTCGGCGCCTGTTTCGAGCAGGTGGATCTTCTCCCCCCCAGGACACACTGCTGCAGACAGTCGCACTAAGCAGAGGTCCGGAGCCAGACCCCCCCCCTCCCCCCCCTCCCCCTCCCCCTCCCGCCCGATGTCGAAACGCCGAATCAGAAAACGCTCACGAGGGGGAGGTTGCATCGGAGGGGCGCCTCCGTCAGGCGGCGGCGGCGGCGGCGCCTTCCTCTTGAGGATCACCAAAAAAAACGTCAAGGTGGACAAGCACCTCGCCCATTAAGCCGACGAAGATGTGCAACATCCAACCCTTCGCTTTCGTCCAAAGTTTTGGCTTGACGCTGGGTGTGAATCAGTTTCAGCTTGACCGAACAGGTTGGTTGCGCCCCTTGACGTCCTTTGGGGTCTTCTGCAGACCTAACCCCCAGCCCTACTCTTATGATGTTCCCAGCTACTATCTAGCCTTGACCACCAGAAACAATTTCGAGCACCAGAAAAGTGCCGAAACTCGAGGGCTGTCACGTCCCCGGCCCTGGGAGACACTCGTCCGACACTCTTTCGACACTCTTTCGACACTTCTACGGGTGCTCGACATGATTTCCGGGATGTGGTCCTGCAGTACGGCGGGAGCAACATGACCCCACTCGAGGGAGGGTGCATCTAAAACAGGGCTAGGATCGGGATAAATCGCTCCAGAGCGTTCCGGAGCGCTCTCAGAGCGTTCCGGAACGCTCTGGAGCGGCCGCGGCGCCCAATACATCCTCCAAACCCGCCGATTCTCAGAGATTTCGAGTTATCCCGATCCGATTTTTTTGTCCCGATCTTCGCGTCGTTTTGGCATCGGAGGGGCGCCTCCGTTAGGCGGCGGCCGTGCCCCGACCGCTGATGCGGCAGTTTCGGGATGCGGCCGCGGCCGCCCAGAGCGTTCCGGAACGCTCTGAGAGCGCTCCGGAACGCTCTGGAGCGATTTATCCCGATCCTAGCCCTGTTTTACCACTCGAGGGAGGGTGCATCGGAGGGGCGCCTCCGTCAGGCGGCGGCCGTGCCCACGACGCTGATGCGGCAGTTCGGGATGCCCGTGTCGCTCTGCGGGCCCATCCAGGCCTCCGCCGGGGGGGGCGGCTGCCCGTCGTGCCGGCTCGCTCCCCCCCTGGTTCGCCCACGGAGGTCAGAGGAGGAACCTCCTCCTCCTCCTCCTCTCTCTCCTCCTCCTCCTCCTCCTCCTCCCCCTCCTCCTTGTCCTCCTCCTCCTCCCCCTCCTCCCCCCTCCTCCTCCCTCCTCCCCCTTGTCCTCTCCTCCTCCTCCTCCTCCTCCTCCTCCTCCTCCTCCTCCTCCTCCTCCTCCTCCTCCTCCTCCTCCTCCTCTGCGGGCCCATCCAGGCCTCCGCCGGGGGGGGCGGCGGCCCGCCGTGCCGGCTCTCGCTCCCCCCCTGGTGCGCCCACGGAGGTCAGAGGAGGGAACTCCTCCTCCTCCTCCTCCTCCCTCCTCCTCCTCCTCCTCCTCCTCCTCCTCCTCCTCCTCCTTGTCCTCCTCTCTCTTCCTCCTCCTCCTCCTTGTCCTCCTCCTCCTCCTCCTTGTCCTCCTCCTCCTCCCCCTCCCCCCTCCTCCTCCCCTCCTCCTCCTCTCCTCCTCCTCCTCCTCCTCCTCCTCCTCCTCCTCCCCCTCCTCCTCCTCCTCCTCCTTCTTGTCCTCCTCCTCCTCCTCCTCCTCCTTGTCCTCCTTGTCCTCCTCCTCCTCCTCCTCCTCCTCCTCCTCCTCCTCCTCCAACGGTATCGATACCACTGCCCTCGCCCCGTTTTCCTCTTTGTGGGCCTTCTGGAAGGCCCCTGCCGCCACCACTGGACTCGCGTCGAAGTTCTGGTCAGAACGGACTCTCGGAGAGGTCTGGGGAGGAGCGGCATCAGTACCTTCGGGATTCCGTAGTCCATGGAAGAGGAGGAGGATTGAGATTGCTGCTCGGGAGGATTGTTGGGGACCCCTTGCGGTTGTGCGTTACCCTGTGTGCCTCAGCGGACTTTTCTCCTTGCACGGCCGATGAGACTCGCCCTTCTACCTCCCATCGTGCACGCACTGGTTCTATCACTTTGAGGTTGCTCGAACGCTGCGTTTCTATCTGTTCGAGGATCACGCAAGCCAATGGTTGTCGAACGCAATGAGGAGGGGAAGGAGGAGAAGAAGGAGGACGAGGAGGAGAACCCAGACCCCTTTGCGTCGTGGAAGAATCGCGGCGGACGTCTTCTTTTGTTGTTGCAGATTTCGGCATCTGGGGGCCCTTGCCAGGCCCCTGGACCGTCAAGCAACGACTCGGGGTGAGAAGCCGGTCCCACATATTTGGCCGAGACCTCTGGGGGTCGACGCTGTGAGAATGGGGAGGATGAGGAGGAGGAGGAGGAGGAGGATGGGGAGGAAGAGGAGGAGGAAGAGGAGCGGCAGGAGGTGCCTGAGCTGTTCCAGCATCGCTTGCCAGAAGACAGGGGGGGTGTATCTTAAGGTTCTATCCTTCGAGCGCCTCAAGTGCAGTGGGGCGTTTGGGGCAAACAGTTTTTTCTCAGGCAACGTTGAAGGCCACTCGACCGACCTCCAGACCGAGGAGCCGAACCGCCACCGTCCCCGCGTCGAGCGAGTTTGGCGTCTTCGCCCAGCGTCTGGTGGAGTCGTGCTGATCTTGACGGCGAGGCAGTCTCCCCTGGCTCGGGCGGGAGAGCTGCCTGGGCCAAGGATTCCTCCCTCGCCCTCTGCAGGCCGAGCTCCACCTCGGCGCGGCGTCCAGGCTCAGGTCGGGCGTGCCCCTCTACAGGAGGATTGTTCAAACATGATACAAACTAGTCGGGGGACGATTTGTCCTAGTAGTTTTCCAATGTATCAGAGGAAAGATAACATGTTTTTACTACTGCTGAGTTTTCGTCCCAACCCCCCTGCAGGAGGACAAGCCCGACCGATGTCCAGACTTATGACATCCCAACCCACGTCAGCCCTGTTCACCAGAAAGAATTTCGAGCACCGGAAGACTGCCGAAACTCGAGGGCTTTCACGCGTCGGGCCCTGGTATTCGTTCGACACCGTTGCGATACTCTTCTGGGTGCTCGAGATGATTCCTGGGATGTGGTCCCTACCCTGACTGACCTTCCAGGAGGGCTAAAAAATGACACCCGACGTAAAAACCTATCCCAGAGCTATTCTACGTCTTGGTTTTAGGCCGTTTCGCTCAGCTTTCTAGGTTTTCAGGCCCCCAGTGCCAAGAAATAGCTCTCTGGAGGGTCTGGGTAGGCACGACGGGAACAGCGAGGAGCCCCAGCCCTGCCTCGAGGGCAGCGAGCCCGGGCGGCCCCCGCGCGACGTGGCTTGGGCGTCGCGTAATGGGGGGGTCATAAATGGGGGGGTGGCGAGGGTGGTCCGAAAAGGTACCCAAATGGTACCTAAACGAGCCCCTTGAGGCTCTGGAGGGGCCCAAAAGGGGCACGAAAGGGGACCGTTTCTGACCCCCCCCATTTGTGACCCCCCCATTAAGCCACGCCCAAGTGGCTCTCCGAGGCCGGGGCGCCGCGCCACGGATTCGAGCGGCCCCGCGCGCGGGGCGAGGCGCTCCCCGCGCAGGATCTCCGGGGCGCTCTCTTCCGGCAGGGCCGCTCTCCGGCTCCCTCGGCCGGCCGCGCCCCCGCGGCGCCCCCTGCGCATGCGCCGGGGGCCCCCCCATGCGGCTCGGGGCTCTCTCCGGCCGGGGGCCCCCAAGACGGGGTGCCTCAGGCACGATCGCGTCGTATTTTTGGTTGTTTTCGGGTGGCTTTGGGCTGTTTTATCGGGCCCGAGAGGTTTGGAAGGTGTTTTTGGCCATTTTCGGGACCAGGGCGGGTGGCTTTTTGGCCATTTTTCGGCCCCGGGGGGGCCCTCGCCGGGCCTCGGGGCCGTTCCAGGATGATTTTCAGGAGGAAGAGCCCGTCCTGGGGAGAGGGTCGGGACTTCCAGGGACGCCGTCCTGAGAAAATCAGGCCGTCGCATGTCTGGGGTGGTGACCACACCGTGTGGTGAGTCGGTGGGGATTCGGGGTCACCGCACGGTTTTGGGACTCGGGTCGCTCTCCGAGGATCTCTCGGGCGACGGGGGCCTCCAGGGTCCCAGAACCGTGTGGTGGCGGACCGTGCGGCGAGGTCTCTTGGGGTTCCGAGGTCAACGCACGGTCTGTCACCACACGGTTTTGGGATCCCCAATCCGGCCACCCCCCTGAGTCGCAGGGAGTTGCTCTCCCTCGCTCCCCGAGTTGCGCCCGCAAGGCGTGGCCGCTCAGGCAGAGGGGCAGTTTCTGGGATGCGCCCCAAGGGGGGCTATTCGGGCGCACCCCTCTCCAGGACGGACGCCCCCCCCCCCCATTGTACATCCCAGGGTTGGGCTCAAAATGTCTGGTCCTTTCGAGAGCCCAACGAAGCCTGGGATGGGGGTCGGCATGTCCCCTGTGACTGCGTGTACCTTTTCCTGCACGTCCACTTCGGCACCGCCTGATCCCCGGGCTTCGCCCGCTCCTGGCCGCGTGAGGCCCCGCCTTCTCCCGCCCTCTCTCTCTGCTAGTTAAAGCTGTGCGCGTCCCGCTTAGCTTTCAGCGGAAGAGGCTCGCTCTCGCCCTGCAGATCAACAAGAAGTCCCCCTGTCGCTGAGTGCAGCTTTCCTCCCCGATCCGTGTGGTGGTCCTGGGGCCCAGCAGCGGCCCGCGGAGGCCGGAGGCGAATGGGGCAGCCTGGGCGCCTCGCGGTGCGGGGGCGGAAGCTGACGAAAGGGGCCCCGGGGCCCCGACGGTGCACGAGAGGGGGCCGTTTCCTCGCCCTCCCGTGGATCCCAGACCTCATGATGTTCCAGCCTACTCTAGCCTTGAGCACCAGAAATGTTTTCATGTGTCGGGCCCTGGGGGGCACTCGTCCGACACTCTTTCGACACTTTTCTGGGTGCCCGAAATTATTTCCGGGATGTGGTCCTGAAGTACGAAGGGGGCAACATGACCCAGACCCCCTCGCGTAGTGAAACAAAAACGCGACGGGAGGTTTTTGGCCATGTTCGGCCTCCAGGGGCCTTTTCTGGGCCCTGGGACCATCAGACAACGACTCGAGAAGAAACTAGTCCTGGGGAAGGGGTTCAAGCATGTGGGTGTCGTCGTGTTGAAGGAAGACACGACGTCGGGGCTTTTGGAATGCGGTAGCGAAAATAAAATAATGGGGCTCTGGGGTCCCGAAGGTGCACGAAAGGCGAACGTTTTTTCCCCGACCTCCCAATTATCGCCCCCCCCGCTCAGCAGCGTCCAGGGAGCGCCGCGGTTGAAGAAATCGCCCCGCCGGCTTCTTGAAGGAAAGCACTTCTTTGTTATTCCCTGTGCTTCTTCTTCCCGGTCCTGCTCCCGCAGGAGCTGGCTTCTGCCTCCCCCCCCCCTCTCTGATTGCGAGGCCGTCGGGCAGCTGGTGGCGATGGGATTCCTGGTGCTGCTGTCGAAGGGGTACGCGGGCATCTTCCAGAAGAGGCCCCTGAACCTGATCCTGGCCTTCTTCGGCGCCGACGTCTTCGTCGTTGTCGTCTTTGTCCTCCTCTTCCTCCTCCGTCTCATCCTCCTTCTCCTCGCTACGCTTTTTTTGGCGGGCAGTTATTGCTCTGCTGGATACCGTGTCCTGGTGTTCGGTCCTACGACGCGGGGGCACTGCCAGTCAGTCCACGCAGCGTCAGGGGGAGGAGGGGGCCAAACCGGCCTATGTGATTAGAAATGCTTGTGCACACAGTTGTTTGCACTTGCAGATCATGATGCATGCTATGGACATGTATGCTCAAACCGTTTGGGCACGTTGAGCCCTGGTGAGACACAGTGCCCTCGCTCCCTTGGCGGCGGCTGTAACGAGAGGGCGGTAGCCACGGCAGCGATGTCAAGATCCTTTCGGACCCCAGGGACCCCGTTGGCATCCCGTGGAGGTTCGAGGAGTATCGAGGTTGGCAGCGGGCCAAGAGGTTGGAGCCTCTTGACACTTCCCTTAATATTCTGCATGCCCCAGGGGGTGGCCACCCCCTCGGACAACTACGAGATGGACTGCGCCCCGTCGCGGGACCGAAGGTCGCAGCCTTGACAGGCGAAAGCCTTGAGGACTTGGCGGTGAGCTGTGGTGGCCAGCATACTGTCGTGCCATGTCGAAAAGACAGCTTCGCTGGGCCCCAGACTCTGCAATAACCAGCTGGCCCTGAACATCAGTATCTCGGCAATGGTCGCGCGGCGAGATCCAGCAGACTTCGACGACGAAGATGGGGCTACGAAACCCAACAACTCCCTGGAGCCGACGTTTAGCAGGACGATCTTTAGAGGGCCTGTGAGAGCACGCGACTCATTCTATATGGAGGCGCATTTCGAAATGCGCGGAACAGAACCGACGGTAGCGTTCTGTGCAGCGGTGGAATTGGATAAGTCCCTCTTGGGGAAGATCGACAGTTGGATGACGATCAGCGATGACGAGTTGGGCGATTGGACGCTCGAGAAGCCAGGTCTCGACCAGGACGGGAAGCAAACGGTCTTGGCCAGGGCGGACAAGACATTCAGTTCGCGAAGAACAGCATGACCTTGAAGAACATATTTTCACGGGGCTCCAGGCATTGAGGTAAAGACATTCGATTGCGAGAGCCACCGAGGCGGTGGACTTACTACGAGGACTTCGGCGATGACCAGTACGACGAGGAGACCGGTGACCTCGAGGAGGACGCCTACTGGACCCAGGACAGCGACGGCTACTGGTACGAGTGGAGTGACGACCACGACGCGTAGGTCAGCCACAAGTACGCCATGATGACGCAGGACGACTAAGACTATGCGAGTGAAGAGGCCTTCACCATCGAGGACGGCACCGACCAGTGGATAGCCAACGAGGACCCCGAGCACCAGCAAATACGAGTAACGCTACGCGAGTCGCGCGAGAAGATGAATCAGATGCGGGCAGCACGGGGGCTCTTTCAGGCCAAGATCGACGCGGTGTTGGACGAGAGCACGGCGGCAGGTTGCAAGCCGAGTGGCAATCCTGGCGGCAAAGGCAAGTTCAACGGCAGCGAGAACAAGAGGCGCAGCCGGTGCAACCTTTTCGATTGCAATCGCCCTGGCTGCGGCAGTGGAGGCAAAGTAACGATCGGCGAGCAGCGACCGGGAGGCAGGGGCAAGTCAAGACGGAGGAAGGGTGCCTCAGGGAAGAGTCGTCTTGGCATGTGAGTGATCGGAACGGTTGTTGGATTCAGCTGCTGGTGGCAGACGGACACCGACACGGCGGTCACCACTCAGTGCGCGAGCTCCCGGATGCCTTTCTCGAGGCCGCTTCAGAACGCAAGTGCTGGGGCAGGCCAAGGCCTCCCAGTTTCGACGTTGCTACGTGCTGGGCGCATGAGCGAGCGGGAGACGGTCGCGGAGATCTACGCAGCCGGGACCGACATACCACAGGTTGAAGACATCATTTTCGCCTTTAGGGGGCTTCAAGGGGCCTATTCAGGTTCAGTTGGAAGCGACTTGGGGCCTCCTCAGGCCTCTTGGGGGCCTCTGGGGGCCTGCTGCGGGCTTCTTGGGGCGTCTTCGGCACTTCATCCGCCGTCTTGGCGCCCTCTCATGCGCCTCTTGGGCCCGTCCTGGGGCCCTCTTGGGCTTTTCCGGGGGCCTCCTGGGCCATCTTGGGCCCTTCTTGGGCCGTCTTGGAGTCCTCTTGGCGGCTTCTTGGGCCGCTTTGGGGCTCTCTTGGGGCGTCTGCGACGCTCTGAAGGCCAAAGAGGCGAATATGCTAAAAATGTACGTTTCCCCAGGGAATGGGACACTTTTTGCTTTTGGGGGCCTTCTTTGGGGGGCCTGTTCAGGGCTTCTGAGGGCATCTTGGAGGCTTCTCGAGCCGTCTTGGGGACATCTTGGGCGTCTTTTAGCGATTGTTCGGCGACTCGGGGCCCTCTTGGCCCATGTTGGGGCCCTCCTGGGCGAGGGGGCCGTCCCGGAGTGAGCTAGAGCTCCGATTCCGCCGCGGGAATTAAATCGACGCCCCCCGCGCCTCCCCCCTACCCCGGCAGAGCCACCCCGGCACCCACCCCACACTAGAGTCGAAGTTCAGGAATTGAGGCTCAGACTGTTCTGAGGGCCTTTGAAACTCACACGCCGGATCGGCGGATCCCCTAGCCGGCCTTCGGGACAGGTGCTCTTTCACGGGGTTGAACCGTGGCCTGGCGCCCAGCTTTTTTTCAAGTGTCATATTGTTTTTGTGATGACCTCATCACTCCTCCTCCTCCTCCATCTCCTTCTCCTTCTCCTTCTCCTCTTCCTCCTCCTCCTCCTCCTCCTCCTCCTCCTCCTCCTCCTCCTCCTCCTCCTCTCCCTCCCAAGACGGCCTCAGATGACCTAGATAATTCAAAAACCGCCAACGAAGCCACGTATACGGCCCAAGAGGGCTCCCTGGAGGAAGTCCAGGAGAGCCCGCAGAGGTCAAATTCATTGGTTGTTCTGCATATGATGCGGGGTTCACGTTTTTTGCCTTCTCGGGCTTCCGTTAGCCCTGACGGCCAGGAATTTTGGCTTAGCGTGCCGCGCCGCTTGCTTTTGCCAACCATGCTTCGGCGCGACCCGCTGTCGACTTTCCAGTCCCCTGGCGTCAACGTCCGGAGTTGTTTCCAGTCTCCCGACCCGCGGAGCGGAGCGACACGCTATCTGTCCGCAGGTCATTGCGTGTCGCTGGGGCCGCCGTCGCGACGCGCTATAGAAAAATCCCAACCGCACTTTCTCGAAGGCGCCCAGTCGAGACATCTGCGACGCTCCCCAGCGTCTCTCGCTCTTGGTGTACCTCCTTGATTCTCGTAACCACAGCTCGGCGCGCATCGGAAAACGGGTCAGGGTAAACCTTGGGAGGGGGCCAGAATCAGATTTTGACTGGAGTTGGGCCCGTCGGGCGAGACGCCGTTGTCTCAATTGCACTTCTCGGGCCACCTCCTCCCTCGACTTACTCTTTGCTGCCGTCGGTCCTTGCTGCGGCTGCCTCCTCCTCCTTTCCCCTCCCTCCCCACTGCTGGAGAGGTCCAGGGAGAGGATGCCGCAACGCCCCCCCGGGCGCAGCAAGGCGTGAGGGTGAAGGTGCAAACGCGAAGTGTCCTTGGCATCGCTCGGACGTGTGCATTTCTCTTCGGCGAGAACCATCGGGGACCATCCAGGACCATCGAGCAATAACAAAAACACGCACGGAACCGACAAGAGCACGGGAAATGGACGTCCGAGCGACGGCAGGTGTCAGGCTGCTGCTCCGTGGCCCGTGCTCGGGGGCCGCCACGCCGCTCCGCGGTGCGCTGCGCACCGCACGCCGCAGGGCGGGCCGCTTGGCCGAGTCGCTCTCGCGCCCGGCCGCCGCCGTCGAGGCGGACGCGGCGCGTGCCGCTCTGCTCGGGCTGCTCGGGGCTCGAGCTCCTCGTGCAGCGACCACCTCTTCTCCGGCCCCCACCCCCGCTCCTGCCCCGCCTCCCCCCCCCCTGCCTCCTGCTCCTCCTCTCCCCTCTGCAGCTGGCGGGGGGGGATCGCCGCTGGCCTGTTCACCTCTTCCGAGCCAGCTGCTCTGTTCCCGCGGCGGCTCGGGGCTCCTTCTCGGCGAAGCGCTGCATTTCGCGCAAGCGGTAAAGTTTCTCACCGGGAACGAAACAAACACACCGCGAAAGAGCCCTGCTCACAGGGTGGAAGAGGGGGAGGAGGAGGAGGAGGAGGAGGAGGAGGAGGAGGAGGAGGAGGAGGAGGAGGAGGAGGAGGAGGAGGAGGAGAGGGAGAGAGAAGGGGAGGAGGAGGAGGAGGAGGAGGAGGAGGAGGAGGAGGAGGGAGGAGGAGGAGGAGGAGGAGGAGGAGGAGGAGGAGGAGGAGGAGGGGGAGGAGGAGGAGGAGGAGGAGGACCGCGGCGTGCGCCATGGGGTGAGTGAGTGAGTGAGTAAGGAGGAGGAGAACCACTCGGGCCCGAGCGGTGATCCACACCACGGGCGTTTCTCCCGATGCCCCCGCCGCCCCCGCAGAGCCCCGAAGGCCGGGGCCACCACGGTTTCTCCTTGTGTGTGCTGCCGACGTTCCGGCGGGCCTCCTCGCTCCTGTGGCCCCTCCTTCGCCTGACCCCTCTTCCTCCTCCTCCTCCTCCTCCTCCTCCTCCTCCTCCTCCCGTCCTCCTCCTCCTCCTACTCCTCCTCCGACTCCTCCTCCCTTCTCCTCCTCCTCTTCCTCCTGCCTCTTCTCCTCCTCCCCCCCCTCCTCCTCCTCTTCCTCCTCCTCTTCTTCCTCCTCCTTGTCCTCCTCCTCCTCCTCCTCCTCCTCCTCTTCCTCCTCCTCCTCCTCCTCCTGCTCCTGCTCCCCGCTGTGGCGCAGGGCGCCCTGCAGATGGTACATAGAACAACTCCTCTGCCTGCCCACCCCCCGTCGGCACGTTCCTCGGCATGGGCGTCCTGTGCGTATCCACGGCGATGGACAGCGGGCGCGTCGCGCAGGCCGTCTTTATCCTGAGCCTCTACTTCTTCTACATATCCTGCTGCCTGCGGCAGAACCCGCCACCGCGCCAGAATCAGAAGCGCAGCGCGAATGAGGGTGAGCGGGAGACGCACGTTGGAGCTTCTCTGGGGCCTCTTGAGGGCCTCTCGGGGGCCTTTCGGGTCCACTTGGGAGGCCTTTGGTGGTCTGTGGGGGTGACCTCTGGGGGGGGGGTCTCTTGGGCGACTCTCTTTCGGCCTCCCTCGGGCCTCTGTCGGGGGCCTCGTGGGCGCCTACTTCGTCGGCATCTGCCCTGGAGGCTCCGCGCGCCGCGGCGGGCGCGCGCGCGCGCTGTGCCTCCCCTCCCTGGGGCCTCTCGGCTCGGCTCCTGGGCTCCAGGCTATCTGGTTCTCGGGCCTCGTGGGGTCGGGCCGTCCCCGCGGAGGGCGGGGCAAGCGCCCGGCGGGCTCCCTCCTCCGCCGTGCTCGGCAGTGCGCGTGGCGCCGTTCGGGGAGCGCTGCTGGGCCGCAGGCCCCAAAGAAGCACGCACAGGGAGGAACAGCTGCCTGCTTCATGCGCTGCCCCCCCCCCCCCCCTCCCATCGTGCTTCAAGGCCACATCCCGGACATGATCGCGTCGTAGAACAGTCAGGACGGGAGGTTTTTTTGTTGTTTCCGGCCCCTGAGAGCCCTCGCCGAGCCTCGGGAACATCAAAAAACGACTCAGGACGAAAAAACGGTCCCCGGGAACGGGTCCGGACTTCCAGGGACGTCGTCTTGAAAAAATCAGGACGTCGCATGTATAGGATCCCAGAACAAAGTTCGAGCACCCAGAAAAGTATCGAACACATTGTCTGTCCGACACGCGAGTATCGCCTCCCAAGGCGCGACGCGGGAAAGCCTTCCAGGTTCGGTATCTTCGTGGTGCTCGGAAGCCTATCTGGTGACCAAGGCTAAAGTAGGTTGACACAACATCTTGCCTGCTCTCCCCTTTTCCTCCCCTCTCCCCCTTCCCCAGCTCTCCATCCCTTCTGCTCTTTGCTGTCACCTCCCACCCGTCTGCCTCTCTCTTTCCCCTCTCTCTGCCCGTCTGCTCTGCGAGTCCGCGGCCTTCGCGGGGCGTGCGGAAGACGGCCACCCCTCGGACAGTCAGTACAATCGGCTACGCGTAAGAGTGACCCTTCGCCGGAGTGACCTTTGGTGCGGGCCCAACGGGGCCCCCCGACGGCTGATTGCGATGCGATAGCGGCGGCTTGCGCGCCTGGTTGTGCCCCCCTTCGGCCGCCTCCTGGGCCGCGCAGCAAAAGGCCACTTT